TTCCCACCACCCCACTCATTCTCGCCAGGCCCTAATAAGCAGAGACGGGCATCCAGGAGGGTCTCAGCAAACTTAGCTGTGTGAGCTCCCTATCTCCAGGAGTCAAGGGCAGTATAACTCTGGGGACCGGGCTGACATCTCTGGGATTTGATGACTCCAGGATTCCCTGTAGCACCTGAGTCCTGAGCAAGGCAGGCCCTGGAGCCCGGCGTGTGAGCAGAAGCAATGGATAAGGAGCAAAACCAAAGGGACCAAGTTAGGTGGAGTCGGAGCCTACAGGGCAGCAGGTTGCAGGGGAACAAAGCGAGGAGCCAGCATCACTCTCTTTACAGAAAGTTCATTTTCTTTGCAAATGTGTGAGCCCTCGGGGATTAATTAGAGTAAATGTGAAATGTTACAGAAAATCCTGAAACCCGACTTCTGGATTCATGCCTTTGCATTCTTCTGGAGAATCACAAAACTGGGCAATATAGTCCAATCCTTTCATCCTACTGGTGGGGAAACTGAGGCTCGTGGGGCAGCGCTAACCCGAGTCCGGAGGCAGAGCGGAACAGATCCAAGTGCCCTTCGGTCTTCGGTGCTCTTCCCAGGCCCGCACGCTCCCGTCCGTCCATCCGCCCTCTCGCGTGGCTTGCTTAGGAAGGGGCAGAATCCCTGCGGCACTGACTGCCGCACGCTCCCGTCCATCCTCTCGCGTGGCTTGCTTAGGAAGCCGCAGAATCCCTGCGGCACTGACTGCCGCACGCTCCCGTCCATCCTCTCGCGTGGCTTGCTTAGGAAGCCGCAGAATCCCTGCGGCACTGACTGCCCTCACGCTCCCGTCCGTCCTCTCGCGTGGCTTGCTTAGGAAGGCGCAGAATCCCCGCGGCACTGACTGCCGCACGCTCCCGTCCATCCTCTCGCGTGGCTTGCTTAGGAAGGCGCAGAATCCCCGCGGCACTGACCACGTCGCCGTGGGAGTGACGCCAGAGTAGCGCAGGATATCGGGGGTCACCGTGTACAACCGCTGGAGCCCCATCAGTCGCCTGGAGGCAGTTGTCTCCTGTGTAACAGGGGTGGCGGTAATAGTGCCTCATGGGGGTTAAGCAGCGGGACATAAAAAGCACGCAGGCCCTGACCAGTTTGGTTCCATGGTTAGAGCATCTACCTGGGGACCAAAGGGCCGCGGGTTTGATTGCAACCAGCACCCTGCGGATGGCAACCAGTCAATGTATGTCTCTCTCTCCCTCCCTCCCTTCCACTCCCTAAAAATCAATGGAAAAATATCTTCTGGTGAGGATTAAATAAATAAATAATAAAAATAAAAGGCACGCAGGATGTTGATGGGATCCTAGTGTTTTTCTCCTCTCCCTCACCTATTTTGCTCAAAAGTTACTTTTTAAAATTAGGGTTTTGTTGTCATTTGCTTGCTCTTTTGTTCTTGGTCAAACCCACCCCCTCTCCATGCCCCACCCCAAAGACGTGAAACCAGCCACAGCCAGGGCCCAGGCAGCGGGGGGAGGCCTGGTTCTGGTCCTCATACCTGTACCGGTTTGCACGCGGTTTGTCTTTTTTCTTTTAGATTTGTTCCAGTTACTCTCCTGAGAGCAGTAACCGTGCAGTCCCTGTCCCCAGGAGGCCAGATCCTGAGGCAGAACAGTGTACCAGAAGGAGGTAGCGCCCACAGTACAGAGGGAGTGGAGACCCGTGCGGAGGGACCATGTCCGGGGTGGCAGTGGGTGCTTCCTGCACGCTGTTGGCACTTGGGCCTGTCCCCTGTAATGCTCTCTTGGCCGCTGGCCCTGGGAACCCAGGTTGCCAGATATGGTGACGATGGCTGTGTTGTTCCAGAAGCCAGGGCCCCACCTGGCCTCCATCTCTCAGGTGCCTGAACAAGTGCTGAGCAAGTGCAAACGCCGACATTTCCCTGTGGGTTAAGGACACTCCAAGGGTTCCACACTCCTCCGTGACTGGTACCCTGGCCTGGCTTGGTGATTGACAAGATGTTGGATGAAACAATAACACGGAAGCTCTCCTGCCAGGAAACTGCTGGACTTCCGGCCCCTGCCCTCGAATTGGCCTGCGGACCTCACACTGCCCCCACCGAGATGAAGGCATAGTCCTGCTCCTCACAGGCTTGTTCCTGCCCTGGCCTTTTGCACATCCTGTCCTCACATGAAGGAGACACCCTGCTCCTGTCTGCTCAGGCTGATAGCATACACATGGCTGTGGTTAGCATCGCCTGGGAACAAATACACCAGTGCCCAGGCCCCAACCCAGAACGAGAAATCAGGATCTCTGGGGTGTGGCCTGGGGAGCCTAGACTCCCCAGATGATTCTAATGTGCAGCCAGGGTTACACCACTGATCATTCCTACCCATCTAGGGGACCTAACTGAAGTCCCATTCCTTCAGGAAGCCTTCTTGAGCTTACCCCCTGCAGGTGGCCCTCCTCTAAGCGCCTGTGGGCCATATGAAGCACATGGCACTGGACACTGATAGCAGCCTGCTTTGTGTCAGATGGTAGATTGGAAGCAGAATCCAGGCTTTGCCCCTCGCTAGCTGTACATCCTTGGTCAAGTTACCAAACCTCAGTTTCCTCATCTGCAAGATGGGCATTAATAATAATACCTACCTCACAAGCTGGCATAAGATGCTTCCACTAACCCATACCAACCTCAAGTCCACCCTTCCCCCATGGTTCCTCCATTTCCAAAACCACAGGCCCCCACAGCCAAGTAAACCAGTTCTTAGGGCTCTCCATCCCTGTGTCCACCCACTTTCACTCCTCATGCTTCCTTCCAGGAAGATTTCGGAGCCTCCAAGTGTGACCACTTGCAGGTGGCAGTGAGAAAAACAAAGGGCAGCAAACCATCCTGCATGGCCCTCCCCCGCCCCCAGGAGGCGCTCCTTCCTTAGGCTCCATTCTAGCAGCCGCTGAGCCTGCCCCAGCTATGGGCTGGCAGGGGGCACGGTAGACACTTGTGCAGAGCTTTCCTGTTCAGAAAGCACTTCTTCAGGTACATGATCCTTGTGGGATGGGCACCTCCCCATCTGCCAGATGATGGCCGGGGTCACAGATAGCATGTTCTGGGGCTACAGTTGAGAGTATCGGGAAATTGGAAACCACAGAAATGTCCCAAAACAGAGAAAGGGTTAAATTCCTTAGAGTACAACATATTGTGGAATATTATGAAAATATTCAAGTCGTGTCTTCAAATAATTTTAACAGCATGAAGAAAGGTTCACAATAGGTTAAGTGAAAAAAAGCAGAACATGGAGTTTGATCTGTACTTGGTGATGGAGATGTCTTTATCGGCATGGGAACAGGAAGGACAGAGCACATGTTTGCAATGATAGCCAAAATATCTCTAAGTTGCTCCTGGTCCTCCCTCAGTAGGTCTGTCCCCTCCTCCCAGCCGCACCCTCCCCAGGTCTGCCTGAAGGTGAATGAGAGGCGCGTGCCGACCAGGAGTCTGTTCTGGGACCTCGTCTGTAAAAGCCATTTCAGTGAAAAATGACACTAAGGGGAAGAAGAATCAGCATTGCCAGAAGGTGGTGTTTATAAAGTTTTTATTTTCCATTTTCTTAAAAATAACATTTGATTTCCTTTATGCATGTGTGGAGTGTACTGGTTTCCTTAGGCTGAGTAATAGGCAGATAAAGACAACACGAGGCAGGGTCCCCAAGTGGAGGCGGGGTTCGGGTGTGAGGGTGGGGGCCACGGGAAAGGGAGAGGGTGGGGTGATCCACGGGACGCTTGCGTGCTCGTCAATGCACACACACGGTCTAACACTTGGTTTTTCGATTTTTTTAAAAGACATCTAAATTACTGAGAGCTACAATTTCAGCACTTAAATATACAGACGGAAATCCACGCACTTCGACACAAGTCTTAACTCTAAGCTCAGTTGTCGCACATGACACAGTTTAGTAGCTTCAGGCTATAAAGCAGTTTGCTCTGCTTGGGACTTCCTCAGGATGTCTCGAGTCCCCTTTTGCACCCCTAGTGGCTCTTCCCTTTGACCCCTGCCAGTCCACAGCCTCCTGATGGTGCCAGGTGTCCGTGGATTAGCCATTCATTCTCCCCAAGGGCTGAGGGTGAGGCTTTGTTGAAATGGAGGTTCCCATGTTGATCCCAATGGACCCACCCACTCAGAGGTGAACTGGAAGCAGATGGAGCTCATGAAAGGCTGAGTGGGTGGCCTGCCCACTAAAACTAGACAGGCTGGCATGAGGAAAGAAGGGTGACCACTAACCCCATATGGTCACAGCCCCAGTAGGACAATAGGGGCAGTCATGATAACCCATCACACTCTCATCAACTTCACCTCCTCCTCTTCTCTCCTGAGCTCCACGCCACGCCTCCTCCCCCATCACCCTTGGACCCTCTCTGAGTGTCTCTCAAGGCACATTTGTTCTCTCCAACTCCAACCTACCCCATCTTAGACATACCCATCTCTCCCAGCACCCATGGGATAGGAGGGCTTGGGCAGCTCCAGGGCCCACAAGAAACTCGTCATTTAAATTTTTGGTTGAGATCTTTACAACGCAGTCCTAATTCCACTGCCTGCATAAGCCAGGGGAGTGGGGACAGGAAGGACAGAGCACATCCAAGTAGAGGGGCACAGGAGGGGCCAGGTGGTGACAGCTTGGTCAAGGGCATGAATCCAAGGATCTGAGGAAGGACCACCCTGCAGCCCTGCTCACAGGAAACCTGCAGCTTGCTGACGAGCAGCCACCTGGAGCTGCCAGCCCACTGGGAACAAGCTGCTTGTCTGGCCTTGGCGGGGCCTTTTCTCGGGCAGTGCAGTGAAAAGCAGTGCGGGGGCGCCACAGACAGGCAAGGCTGGACGCCTTTTGCCTTCTTTCTACAACATATTTACAAGGTCATAAAAATGTGCACAACCAGCAGACCCAGAGACACAGAGAGAGCACATGCCCCCACCCCACTGGAGAGGGGGGACGTGAGAAGGGAAGGGTGCCCTTCCTCCCCCTGCCCTCCCACCCCAGAATGCCCGAGCATCCTCAACAGCTGCCCCAGGAGGACATTCCAGAAGTCTGAGCTGAGGCAGAGGGAAGGGACAGACAGACCTCAATCCAAGCGAGAGCAGGAAGTTTCAAGTAGCCCCGAGTGAGAGAAGCAGCTGCTCCGAGACAAATCCCTGAACTGAGCTGGGACCAGAAGGAGGAGGGGGAGGAGGTGGAAGGAAGGAAGGAAGGAAGGAAGGGGAGACAGATGTGGGGGACCTGGAACAGCATTACACCTTATGGTCCGAACTGTGCTGCAGAATGAGAAGCGGTTTATGGGGCTCACTGGAGTTTCATTATTTCCCCCAAGAGAAGACTTGGAAGGTGGGGATTCCAGGGTGGAGTAACGGGGCAGACAGGTGAGATTCTTTCATCAAGTCCAGCAGATGCAGTGGGTGCTGAAGGTGCGGAGGGCCTGGCCGGAGCCTTGCACAGGGAACTTCGCCAGGTAGACCCCACGCCCTGCTACCCACCCAGCACACAGGGTGCCCTCCTCACCTCCCAGGCCCCTCGTCTCACACAAAGCGTACACACACACACACACACACACACACACACGCGTGCGCGCGCGCGCACACACACACACACACTTTCTCACTGCCCTTGCCACACACCGAAGGGCATCAGAGGCCCGAGTCTGGGTAAGAAATTCTTCCCCAACAGTGTTAGGGATTTGCTTCAGTAGAACTGGACAGGTTTTTTTGGGGAGGGGGGTGACACGAGTACCTTCTCATCCACCCTAGCTCCCGCCTGGCAGATTTGGGGGAACAGTGAGGCGTGGCCTCGGGCCAGGTTGTCCCAGTCCTGCCCCTTTGACTTTTCACAACTCCAGAAAGCTTCCTTCAGAGCTTGGAGAAGTCCCTCCCTAGAGCTGCCTTAGGACCCCCAGGGGGACGGAGAAAACCTGGGGCCGGGAGGAGTGGAGCTGGAAGCCCGCTCAGGCACAGAAGTGCTTCTCCCTTGAGGAAATGAGCTGGGGAAGGTCATGATCTCTGAGGGCAGGGAGGTTACAGATTCCCACCACTCCTCCTTCACAGGGACTCAGGGACAGTCCTCTCTACTGGTCTGCGTGAGAGGGGAGCATTTATTAGGGGGTCAGGAAGGAGGTGGTGCACACATACACCCCGGCAAAGACCTAGAGGGGACCAGGAACCCCAGCAAGGGGAACGGGCAGGTGCAGCACCTCACACAGCCAAGTAGAGCTCACTTACTTAACCTGCCCATTGCCTCCAAGGGAATGGCCCCACAGGAAGAGGCTGCCCTGTCTCGGCCGCTGAGATCTCTGCCTGGGTGTGCACCAGCAGACTACCTGCTGGTCAGTCCCTGCCACTCCACACCCCACCCCCAGGCAGCCTGGCAAGGCCTCCCCGTCCCCCTGCTTCTCAGCCTGTGCCCCCAGCTCCTTGTTGGCCACCTCGGTCACAACGGCTTGGGTTAGGAGAGCTTCTCTGGTGCTGGGGAGCCCCGCAAAGGGAAAGGACTTGCCGAGGCTGGTGGGACAGGTACAGCCAAACTGGCCCAGCTCTGGCAAGACCTCCAGCCAGCAGACAGCTCCTTGCCCTCCCTCCCCTCAATGGGGACATGCCAGCAGGCTTGAGCTTGACCCCAGAAGGGGAGCGAGTAGGGCAGGCAGGGACAGGAGTCAGGGCTGGCTGAGCCGAGGGCAGCCAAGCCGGCCAGGGTGTCAGGGCAGGCCTGGAGGCAGCTAGGGGACGTGACTCGCGGGGCATCTTTCATCAATTTTGACCTTTCAGTGGGTATATGTGTGTGAATGTGTATTTGAAAACCAACAGGTGGAGTGAAAACAACTACAAGGAGGCCAAAGGGGACTTTGGGTGACTCACTCTGCCAGGAGCAGTGTGGACCAAGGGCAGGTTTGTCAGCGCATGCGCTCACGCGCACACGCGCACACGCACACACGCACGCACGCATACACGCGCACACGCACGCACGCACGCACGCGCACAGGCATTCTCCCATCTGGGCCGCACCCGTGCCGTGCACTCACACTCCCCGCCCTCCCGCCGCAGCCGGGTCCTTCCAGCTGTATTTCCGGATCCATCTGTAAGCGGCCTGCTGCTGTCCAAGTCTGCTGGCCTGTCCCCCTCCACGCCCGCAGGCGGTCTACCAGATGTAGCCTCCGTCGTCCGCCTCCGCCTCGCCCTCCTCCTCCTCGGCCTCCTCGCCCGCTTCCTCCGCCTCCTTCTCCTCCTCGTCCTCCCAGCCGACTCCGCTCCCAAAGTCCCCTGAGAAGCCCACGATGTCGTCTGTGAGGTGAACAAGCCAGGGTCACGTTAGGCCCCTGCCGGCCCCCTCTCCCCACTGCCCACCAGCGAGGGGCGCAGACCCCCGGGCGCAGGCCGGAGCCCCCTGCTGCCGCCGCCCTCACCGCAGTCGGGGCTCCCGTTGGTGCGGGTGCCGGTCAGCTCCAGGCCCAGCTGGTCCACACACCAGCAGTCGCCACTGCTCTGGTCACACTGCGTCTTCCGGTAGTAGCCGTCCTCGTCGCAGCTCGGGATGAAGGCTCCTGGATGGGTCAGAGCAGAGGCCGGGAGGCCGGCTCTTCAGAGAGGTGGCCCTGGAGCCTCGGGCACAGGCAGCGGTGCAGACCCCCCAGCCCAGGCGCCGACCACCCAACCAACCCGGATGCCCATGTTTCTTCCAGCTCCACTGACTGGAGACAGGAAAACCCAGCTCCCTAAGTAACCTGCTCAGGCCCAGATGACGCCCGCCTGACTCCACCACTTCCTCCACTGCCCGGCCCAAGTCTTGCAGGAGGCCAGGCTGATGTCGTCCTGCGCAGTGCCCGTCCGGCTGCTCCTGCTCCCGGCTGTCTCGGGCTGGCAGTGCCCACGCCTCTCCTCTCAGCCCCTCCGGCTCTGACCTGCCTAAGGGCCCACCCATTTCCCTCAGCTGCAGAAGGCTGCTCCTCTGTCCACTCAACAAACACGCGATCACCACGCTGGGGACCCAGAGATGGACTCGGCCCACTTTGGGGGGTGAGACACACACAGAAATACTACTACAAGGCGCCACCGGATGGGTGCCCAAAGGCCCCCCAAGCATGCTCAGGAATAGACTGGAGAGGATCTTGGTGGCTTCCTGGAAGAAGCGGCGCTCAAACCCACCCTGAAGGCTCGGGCTCTCGGTCAGTATGGGTCTGCAGTGTGGTTCCAGTGTCCGTTTTCACATGTACTGGTCTCATCGACCCAGTTCAACGCCAAGCTGCTGTCAAGGAGCTATGAGGCCCCACAGAACCTGCCTCTCAGACCTCTGTCCCCTCAACCACCACTTTCCAGCCACATGGGACCTTTCTTTCTGTTCCCCATAAACCTTGATTGTCTTCCTGCCCTCTGCTCATACTTGGCTGGCTCTTCTCATCCCTCAGGTCTCCCCACGAAAGCCAGCAGCCCAGAGAGGCCTTTGCGAGCCCCAGGTTAACTTATGCCCACCTGAACTCCCCCTCAGCACCCCACATCCATAAGCCACGGTTGGTGGTTCTGCCTTTTTGGTGTGTGCTGTTCCTGGGTTCATGAGGCCAGGGCCAGGGCTGTGACCCATCAGTTCTGACCAGGGCCGGCTCCCGAGCACTTGCTGAGCAGTGAGTGCCTGCTGGGGGGGCCTCACCCAAGCCCCGCTCTCACCCCGGCTGAACTGAATAAAATGGACAGTCCTGGGAACCTTTTGTAGCCCCACATCCTGCCCCAACAGGGGTAGGCAGAAAGTAGTGCTGAGAACACACTCACTGAGGGGTTGGCTGGGAGACCCTGCCCCAGCACAAGAAGGAGAACAGGAAGGCAGCTTCCTTCCCCTGTCTTCCTAGGCCAGGTGTCCTCTGGGCTCAGGTCCTCCCTGACACCCAGGGACTGGAGCCTCCAGTGGCCTCAGAGGGACCCTGGGCGCCCCTCCCTGCCTCCTCTGCACCCAGCTCAGCACCTCACCTGGCTTCTTCTTGGCAGCCTCCTGGATCTGGACGCGCTCCAGCTCCACCAGGCAGGGGGGCTCTGCAGGGAGAGAAGCAGCCTCGGGTGGGACTATCCCATGGAACTGGGAGGGTTCACCGTGCCCCCCAAGGCTTAGAATCCCAGGCAAGGGGCTGTACAAGATGAAAGTGACCAGGCTCAGATCTGCAGCCACCCCACAGTGATGGGATGCACCGATCCCTTTAATGTCCCCAAATTGATGCACGGCACCCAGGCTCCAAATGAGGGAGGCCGTTCCATGCCTACAGGGTAGGCCGAGGTCCCCAAGAAGCCAAGGGCTCTCTGAGGGTGTGGGTGACGCATGGGATGAGTAAATAGGATTCTAAAGAGGGGCGAACGCACACACTCCCCAGGGGTAGAAGCTCCACGGGAAACATGAGACAAGAGGGGACGTTAGTGGGAAGCCTGAAAATAACTAGCAGCCAAATTGAACTTGTCTGGGACCGGAGAAGTCCTCTGGCCCATCCCAGCTGGAGGCCTGGGTGATGATAAAATGAGGCCTGTTCCCAGGCTTCTGCCCAGGAAGGCTGGTGTATAGAATCAACGAATGAGCTTCCAAGGCCTGGAGGGACAGGCGAGGGAGCAGTGCGGACAGCAGGGAGGCTGGGCAGTCAGGGGCAATCAAACTGATCCAGAGGCCTCACTATGCAGAGGGTTGTGCTGTACACAGGCCCTGCACCCAGGTTTTCTCAGTGCATCCTCACAGCAGTCTCCGAGGCAGGTCTGTTCTCCCGATTCAAATGGAGGAACTGGGCTCAGAAAGGTACCTGCCCAGGGCCCAAACCAGCATATGGTGGAGCCCTAGCAGCAGCTTGAGCCTCAGGCACGGATGCTGTACTACTTTTACTCCACGACCATTGACCACCGAGGAGCCAGGAAGGGCACCGGGGCGGGTGCCAGGGGCTGGGCCAGGCAGCTGATCCCTGGGACTCGTTTCCTCTCCAGGGGCAGCTGCACTTGGCCTAGATGATCTCTAGCATATGTCCAGCTGTGACTCAGCAAATGATGTGAAATGTCTCTAAGGCTAACGATCACCTGTATAATCACCTATTGGGGACAAATAACGAGATGCGCCCAAAAGTGGAATCATGGAAAAGCCAAAGTAGCTTTAGCTTCAAGGCCCTTTCAAGACCCTCCAGGGGTCCCTAGAAATGGTACATTTAGTTTTGTTGTTGTTAATCCTCATCTGAGGATATTTTTTTCCACTGATTTTTAGAGAGTGGAAGGTAAGGAGGGAGGGAGAGAGAGAGAGAGAAAGAGAAACATCGATTCAAGAGAGACACATCGATTAGTTGCCTCCCACACGACCTAGACCAGGGCTGGGAAGCCGGTCAGCAACCCAAGTGCATGCCCTTGACTGGGAATCGAACCTGTGACCCTTTGGTGCGCGAGCTAACACTCTAACCACTGAGCCACAGCGGCCAGGGCACATTTATCATTTTTTAACATTCGTTCTTTAAGAAGACCTCCAAAAGTGCATACACTTCAGGACCCACACCATCGGGATCCGCCTTGGAGCCTACACAGAAGGGAGTTTGTGTTGGCGTCACGGAGAGTATTGGAAGTGGGTGAGCTGGGAAAGTTCTGGTCCTGCTAGCTGACCAAGACAGCCATTCCAATGCCTGGAGAGGGCCTGGAGCAAGGGGCAGAGACCGGGAGTGTGGGGGCCCAGCCAGGGGCCACACTCACTCTCCCTCCAGAAGCAGAAGCACCACTCCGCGGTGGAGACACGGCCATCCTTGTAGGTGTCACAGGAGTTGAAGAAAGGGCGGATGCAGGCCTCGTACTTGTCCAGGTTGATGGCAGCCAGCTCCATCTGGTCCAGGAAGAGGTCAGCACTGGTGTCCAGCTTGGAGAACATCCAGCCGATGGAGTCCTTGCAGCTGGCCCCCAAGATCTTGTCCAGGCCTAAGAAGAAGACAAGGTTCCAACACACTCAAGGCAAAGCTCCAGCCATCCGTCCGTCCATCCCTTCACCTTCCCCTCAGCCCTCGGTTCAGGGTCAGATCCATCCCTCTGCCTCCACCTAAGACTGCACCTAAACCATTCAAAACCCTGTTTGAAAGCACTTCAGAGAAAATAATTCCTTTCCTTCCCTTGGCTACATTTCAGGGCTTAAACTCACCCCACCATTTTAAGAAGTTCTTCCTATTAGCTAACCTGAATCCCTTCCATCTGGTTGAAGCCTACTGCCCCTGGTTCTGGGGTTTAGGCTCTTTTAGGGACTCAGAGTCTGGCAGGAGGGAGCACAAGGCAGGCTGGCCCCAGGGCACACCTGTCTCCCCAGATCCCTCCCTCCTCCCAGGCAGAGCAACGGGCTCCTGTACCACTGGCTGGGCTGGCTCCGCTGCTGTTTGAGCCATTCTGCTTGGAGTTCTCATGGAGAAGCTGGAACCAGTCCCTCAACCGATCTCCCAGGTCGGCCAGGTCCTGACCCGTGCAGGTCTCTGCAGAACAGGGAGGGGGTGGAGGGTGAAGGTCAGTGAAGCAGCAAGCATGATCTTAACTTGGGATGCTGCCCTCCAGGCAGAGGTGGGGCAGCCCTCTGGGATGCTACAGAAAGGGGAGTTAGAAATTAGAGGCTCCCTCTCCCCTCACTCACTAAACACACACAGCACTGTGGCTGAGGCCCAAGCCCCCTGCCCCTCCCCGGCCTGTCCTCATTCTCTCCACTTCTCCCTCGCTGCTCTGCAAACATCTTGCTGTCCTGGAGCCCTGGCACTGAGACCCACCCCAGCCCGCCCTGGCTGTGGCCCAGCACGCATTACCTGGTTTGCCTTCCACGGTGGACGTGGTGGCCTGCTCCGTGGGGCAGGGGCAGGGGCCCTCACATCTTACCGCCAGCTGTTTGCTGCTCAGGCAGGCCTGCTGCTCCAGCTTACACTGCACAAGATGAAAGGTGGGGTGTGGAGGGGTAAGGGGGCCTCACCTCAGGGGCCCTGCAGCTGGGCCACCGACATGGCAGCCACACCTGCCTTCCCCATTCTCACTGTTGACAGGACAGCCTTCCTGGTCCCTCTGGTAGCCATGGGTGTACAGGGCAAGGGGCTTCAGGCTTAGGAAGGGGGTGCTAGCAACTGAAGGCACCCGTGAACCCACTCTGCACCAGCTTGCCCTCTCTGCACATTTATCTTTCCCAGGACACCCGTCTTCTCATGCCCTCACCCTGTTTAGCTATTGCCCACCCCCTCCTTGCCCTCATGGCCTCTCCTGCTCACCACAGTCCCTTGGTCCCTGGGTCCCTGGCCACTGACACCCTCCTTCAGTGGCCTTCCCACAGTCACCTCCGTGGGCTTTGCTCAGCTCTCTTGACAACAGTTACTGGCTATTGAACATCTGCTCATTCCTGGGCCTTTATTAACCACTCAGCTGCAGCTGTTAGCTAAAGCCAGCTGCTGAGCGGGCTCATCCCTCCTTGCCCTCCACCAGTTTCCCTGGTGGCAGTCTGGTTCCCCTGAGGGGTGACTGCAGCACTGTCACAGCATCTTCTCTCTTGGTCCCCTTCAGCTCCGAGGGAGGAACTGTGGTCCTTGTGCTCAGCACAGAACATGGAAGCTCAGAGGCCCAGGACTGGCCGCAGGCCACCAGGCTGGGATGGGAGCCAGACCTCCTGGTGCCCTCCACCTCCCACAGGAGAGCCATGACCCTCAGACCTCAGCTTCCTGCCCAAACCCCACCATGCCCTCTGGGTGTGACACAGCTTCTCTCCTGCTCCTCTGCCCTGCCAGCCTCCAGCTCCTGGCCTCAGCGTTCGCTTTATTCTCTCCCTACCCTCCCTTCAATGGGTGACCTCATCCCCTCCCCAACTTCATTCACCACCCACAGGGAGGGGCAGACCTGCTCTTGAACCTGCACATCACCCCCAGTTCTGAAGCCCTAGAACCCCGCCCGAGCGGACGGACAGTCAGCCCCCTCCACACCCCCGCTCATCTGGGAGGGGATCACCATCACTGCGCGTCTGTGGCATCGGCAGCCGATACAAGGCTTTCACAAATGTATCATTTAATCCTCGTCAAAATCCCTCAGGTGGGAATTCCTTCCCCCAACCGCTGTTCCTTCCCACATGGTCACCTCACAGGAGAGTATTTCCTCCTGCTCCTGAACGCCCAGGACTGGCTGGCGAACACTGTCCCCTCCTATGGTCTCTGCCTGTGGTCACTGGGTGACAGCTCCTTCCTCCATGGCCCCGGTTCTCCCAGGAGGCCCTTTCCTCATTTTCTCTAACCTGCAGTCACCTGCCCACCTGTCTTCCCAGGCCCAGCCCGTATCGGACCTTCCTGAGATCAGCATCTTGGGGAGCCCCAGCCCAGGGCTCAGGTGTTCCTCCTCTGAGGGCTACACTGAATGCGCTGTGAACCCTGCGGCCCCCCATCAATACTGGGGTCCCTCAGGAAGCTCTGCTGCCTGTTCAGTCCTCTCTGTTCCCTGTGGCCTCAATGGCACCCACCCTACCGCGCTGGGGCCCGGGTCCCTCACCACGGAGCTGTACGTGTGGCCGTCAGAGCCACAGACTGAGGCCAGCTGGGCCATGTGGCAGGGCTTGCAGGCGCTGTCTTTGCCGGCATGGAGCTTCAGGGCAGGCTGCTTGATCCTGCGGAGGGTGGGGAGGGCACAAGGACAGAGGCGAAATGAGAAAGGGACAGGGACAGAGAAGCTGGTCCGGGACACCTGTAGTAGATGCAGCCTCTCCCTGACCCCCACCCCCGTCACCCCCAGCCAGACCCCCTCCAGCTCATTGGGGAGGGCCAACGGGGCAGGGTCTGGACTCCGGCTTCCCCTTTGCTGGGGTCCTGGGTCTGCAGGGCCTCCAGGCAGCAATGCCCGTCTGACTGTAAGATGTAAGAGGGAGTCGGCCTAGGGGTCAGACCGAATCAGAGGTTGCAAATTGATGGCCTACATGCCATATCTGCCCAGCACACTCGATTTTTTGGCCATCGAGGCTTTTTGTTTTTAATTGAGTTATTTACAAAATAGAACCATTCACACAAAGCCTGGACTCCTGGCCTTCGTCAGTAAGATGTAGCGGTCCTGGTTCTGGTCCCGGTCCTGGTCCCACAAGGCCCTAGTCGGCCACTGGGCCCCTCTCCGCAGGGCCTGGGCTCACGAGTGGCTGTCACTGAGCTCTGCACATGGACGTGGCCTGCCAGCCCCTGCAGGCATCTAACACTGTACCCCGTCTCTGGTCTCTGATTCTCTAATCCAGGACAAGAGGGGAGGGAACTGGGAGCTTTTCTAGGCGTGTTGGCACCAGGCGGGGTCTGGTCCTTGGGCTAGAGCTAAGGCCGCAGATGCCCCTCATCCCTCCCCTCCTCTGCGAGCCTCAGAAGCAACAAGTATCTCATGAAGTCACTGCATGCCAGAGCTGGAAGGAGCCCCGAACCATCTGGGCCAGCCTGTCTGCCTCACAGGCGCGGGCAGCAAGGCCCAGGCAGGCGCCGACTTCCCAGGGCCCACATGGCTGGTGAACGGTCTCTCACAGTGTGGTGGCTTTAAGTGTGTCCACGCATTTTCTGACACGCCTCCCTTCAAAAGATGGAGCTGAATCGCCCTCCTCCAGAGCGTGGCTATACTTCTCACTCACTCCGAACACACAGAAGTGGCAGAAGTAACAGTGTGTAACTTCAGAGATGAGGTCATACATGACATGTGGCTTCCTCCTTGCTCCATCTCCCTCAGACGACTCCCCCAGGGGAAGTCAGCTGCCACGTGGTGAGGACATTCAAGCAGCCCTATGGACAGGTCCACGTGACTAGGAGCAACGGCCTCCGCCAACAGCTGTGTCAGGAGCTCGGGAGCGAACCCCCAGCCCCAGGCCAGCCTTCAGATGATGCAGCCCAGCAGCATCTTTGTCACTCAGGACAGACCCTGAGCCAGCACCATCCGACAGAACCACCTCTGGATTCCTGGCCCCCATGAAACGTGAGCTAACACACCTTGTTGTTTCAGACACAAAGTTTTGAGGTAGTCTGCTTCACAGCAATAGATGAGGGGTGCGCAGGAGAGGGTCAGTCAAACTCCTGCTCTTTAGTAAACCCTGCCCGGGCACCCTCCCCAAACCCGCACCTGTGCTCCAGCTTCTTGCGGCTCATGCACATGGCCCGCTGGAAGTCCTGGGCGATGCACACCTTGTGGCGGCTGCACTTCACCTTCTGGCAGGGGTCCTTTGTGGTGTCCAGGGCTGCGGGACACACGGGCGGAGCTCAGGTCAGCTGGGCATCAGTGCCAGAGATCCCTGGCCCCTGGCGCCACTTCTGAGCTTGGAAGCTCCTGTCCGCAGCTCTTGGTGACCAGAGCACCTCGGCTCCTTGGCTGCCCAGGGTCAGGACTTGCCCTCTGGCTTCAAGTCTCCCTGGGCATCAGTCACCTCCCCCGACCTGGGAGGGGCGTGTTACCTTCATCTCCTTGCTGGTTGTCCTCCCAGCTCTTGATGTAATCATCCTAGGAGAGGACAGAGAGGGGTGGGGGAGAAGGAAAGGGCTAAGATTCGCATCCAGAGTGGAGGTTCAACTCCAGGACCAGGAGAGGACAGGGCTGGGCCACTGCTTGCACGTGTGCATGGCCACCATCTTGGTGGCTGCTCGATGACCCCTGTGCACCCAGGCCCTGCCAGCTGCTTCCCGCAGACCTCTACCCCCCTAAACCCATGTCTAGAATCCCTTCCAGCTTCTTCCAGAGCCTCCTTATCCCCCACCCCACAGTGGACGCTGCAGGGAAGAAGTCAGGGTGAGGGCGCAGAGGGAGCAGGGAGAGTGGACTGCAGAGGGACCATGTGCCGTGGGGCCCGGGCAGTACTCACCTCCACCTCCTGGGGAGCGGGAAGCAGCCGCAGACCAGGAACGAAGCAGGAGACAGGGAGAGATGGGGATGTCAGTGTGAGGACACCCTCAGACCACAGGACCCCAGGGCTCCCCTGCCCTTGGTTGGGGGCACTGCGCAATAGTCTTCAATTGCTGTGGTCCTCTGACCTCTACGGTCAACTAGAGGCCAGTATTCCTGTGTCTGCACCAGACAGCAAAGACCTGGGCCCGCTCGAGGCCAGCCCTAGGAGCAGGAGGGGTGAGGCCCGTGGCATGGAGAGGGGAGGTGCCATCCTCTCCTCCAGGCCCTGAGGCTGCTCCCAGGGCCCAGCCCTGTCCCCACCATTAGGGCAGATGTCTGGGGGGCCTGTACTACCTGGAAAATGTGATTCTCAAAGCTGTGCCCTGGGTGTCCCAGAAACACCAGTCTCTCCCTTTGCTAGGGTGCCTCCCCGGGCAGCCCCGCCCCTCACCCTTGCCCACCATGTGAGGGAGGCGGGAGGAGGACCACCCTTCCAGGCTGCACAGGGACTGTTCTTACTCAAGGTCTGACTTGGCTGCAGGGTTCTGATGGGGCACTGCAGGGGCCACGGTCCCTTCAAATGCTAATGGCATCCTCAGTTACCATGGTCTAGGTACAAGTCCTCAAATTCAGAGGATCCTGAAAAAGCCCTCTGAGGCCATCCTGGCCCAGCCCCTCTGTGTACAGGAGAGGCCGGCAAGCCCAGTGATAGGAAATGACCTGACCTAGGTCCCACCATCACAGAACCCAGGTGTCCCGACACCCAGCACAGACCTCTCTCTGGCTACAATACAGTCTTCAAGGCAGAAGACACATGGGTGCTCACCCCCACCCTGCTCTGGCCACAGGGGCCCGAGGACCCCAGAGCGGCTGGAGAAAGAGTGGCTCCCAGTCTAGCTCACTGGCATGAAACTCCCAACACATCTGGTTGCCCTGCTTTCCCAGGGGTGGTGGCATTGCTGAACACTGTCGAACAGCTCCGGGTGTCCCTGGTGGAAGCTCTGCAGGACAGGCAGAGGGAACTTCTCGGGACTGGAGGCTGGCAGTACCAAGGAGCTAGCTGCTGGCCTCCTCTGGATGGAGGGAGAGGGGCGTGAGGAGCCGCACACAACTGCCCACCAAGGATCAGAGCTGTGCAGGGGTGAGGTGGGGTAGGGGTGGGAAGGAGCCAAATGCCTGGCAGGCCTGGGGAAAAGGGCATGGGGCTGCTGCATCACAGGGCAGCCACATGGGGGCAGCAAGGGGCACAAGGACCTGCGTCCTCAGCTGCTTTGAAACCCCAGGGCCCCAGGGCTTCTGAAGGCTCCCCTGGAAGTCCACTTGCATCAGAGGACCAGGCAGGGCAAGGGCCGCACCAGCACGGCCTTCTAGCAAAGGCCAGGAAGTGGCCAGGGCCCAGCAGGCAGCTGGGATCAGCACCCACGTCAAGTGCACTGTGGTCATGCGTGTACTGTGTGCTGCTCACATGTGTGCATGCCTGCGGGCCCTGGGTATGCATTCTGGAGCATGTGTGTGTGCAGGTCCTCGTCTATGAGCATGTGTACATGTGCACACACGTGTAAGCAACGTAGGAAACAAGGACACCTCCAGGCAGCTCACCCAGTGCCAGGTGGTTTTTATCCAGAAACAAGGTAACAAAGCCCATTTCTCCCAGCAGCCTCCAGTTTTCACACCAGAGACCAAGGCCTTCCCCTGCTTGGTCTTCCTGACCCTTCCCCAGAGAGGGGTGGGGTGGGGGGGGGGGAAGAAAGGGTGGCAGGCGAAGACCAGCAACCTCTCTTGTGAGGAGGGTCCTGCTTCCACATGCACCTCGTGTTCATCTCCCTGTCTCTCCTCTCTCTCCCCCTCCACTCTGCCCACACCTGCCCCCACACATGTCCAAGCAGCCGTGTCCCGCTGTCCTGGAGCCCGGAGCTAGCAGGAGGAATGCCTCAGAAACGGCTTCCGGAGAACCTGGCCTGGGTGGCCCCATGGGCACTGAACAGGCCAGCCCTGGCTCCAGGCTCGGGCACCCCTCCCAACTCCACAGGCGCGGCCTGAGCCCCCGTGAGCCCCTGGGCAAGCTGCTGAGGGGACTGCAGGGCAGGGAAGCGGGCACCGTTTCCCTCATTGGCTAGGGCCAGAGGAAGCCAGCCCCGACCTGGCCCTCTTCCGGGCACTCCTCGGGATGGAGGGGTCCTCTCCCAGTGTCCCTCCACCCCAGATGGGAATTGGAGGCTGAGGGGGGCCACATGGCTGAGGCCAGGGCTTCAAGGTTGGGGCAAAAGTAGGGACTGGCCTCCATCAAATTGGGGTCTTCCCAGCTGCTCATCATTCCCTGGGAGGGGAGTGGACATGAGGCCGAGAGGAGGACAGGGGAAGTGGCTGGTATGAGTCACCTGTCCCCAGCCAACAAGGTCTGGATGCCCCAGAACCCACCTGCGCCGAACTGGAGTAGGGAGGGGCCTGTGTCGGCCAAGGGCCTTCGTGCCTGCTCACTCCCTACACTCCGGCCTTAACCGCCAACTCGCCTGTGAGCAGGAGCCTTTGGGGCTTGGTACAAAGTGGGTTCTCGAAGGTCAAGATCAAGAATTTTTTATTAGAAACCCAAGGGAAAGTGAGAAGGGGAAGAGGGAGTTTGAGAAGGGAGATTCCACCACCCACCTCCTCCATCAGTCCTGGTGGGGAGCCATCTGCACCCACCCAGCTCCTCCCGATTCAGCGGCAGGGAGCAGGGGTTGAGTCTTCTGTTCTAGCTCAGCTCTCGGTACCCACTGTGAGAGCAGGTGGAGAGAGGCCCGAGTGCTTCTGGTCCCAGGACCCTCACCCCTGGACAATGGGAGCAGCTGACAGAGAGGGCTGAGGAGGGCGGGCCCTGGCGTCGCACAGAACCCCACCGCTCCCTTGTCAGCTCACCTGGGCAAGCACCCTGACCAGCAGGAGCTCAGCAGCGCCTGTCTTCTGGGACTACTCAGGGATTAAGGAATGAGGTGTCTGTGAGGTGCTTGGTGTCCAAAAAGCACTCAACAAGTAAAAGCCATCATAGCCGAAGAAGAGACCATAAACGCTGAGCAAGGAAATGGTGGAGAATCAGAGAACAGGTAGGAGGCCACAGAAGGAGCCCCTGGCGAGAACAGAGAGGCTGCGGGGACAGAGACCAGTGCGAAGTCTCCCCCAAGGGGTTTCCAGGGAAGGGGTAATGAGGAAGTCCTGTGGGCAGCAGGGAGGCAGAGCCCAGGGACACACTTGGGGGCCCGAAGGTCGGATGTGGGCTGGCTCATCAATGCCTGTTTATGGCACCCAGGTGGGCTCATTAGCAGTGGTGTGAAATGGTCTTCTGAGGAGGAGGTGTAATTCTGTCCTGCTTCTGCTACTGAAGGGTGGATCCTGTCCCTCCTACCCCGCCCCCAGGAAGGAGGATCTAGTCTAGAGCCAGGGCCAGGTCCAAAGGGAGATGGGTCACAGGCTGAGACCCAAAGTTCTGGGCAGAGGATGAGCATATCTATTTTACCTGGATACCTCACCTGGTCAGTTCGGCCATGACCACCCCTGCACACAGTGGTGCTCAGCACAGAGCAGGTGCTGAAAAAACATTGGTGCTTTTAAATGAAATCCTCTCCAAATAGTTGTGTGTGTGTGTCTTCCTTTTGCCCTCACAATCCTGTTAAACAGGCAGGACCATAAGAATCAACCTCGTAAAAAATGAGAAAACGGAGACTCAGAGAGGCAGAGCACTGGCCAAGGGTCCCAAGACAGATGAGAAAGTGAGCCAGGGCTCCGGCGGGACCTGAGGGGACTGACCCTCCGCCGCACCTTCCGGGTAGGTGGGGTCTCTCACTGAGAGAGTCTTGCACTGACAAGGGGCAGGGGGGTGGAAGGGACTTTGGACACAGTCTGTTCTGAACTTGGCTCATTGTGTGGCCTCGGCAAGTCACTTCCTCTCTCGGAGCTGAGTCCTCTCTGGCCACGTGGGTACCTCTCAGTTCCAGCTGCACATTGGCACCACCTGCAGAGCTGCTTAAACCATCATTGCCCAAGCACCACCTGAGCCCGCTGCAGCCTCCTGGGTGCTGGCCCTGGAGAGCTCCCGCTGAGGGCTCAGCAGGCCGCGGGGTGAGCCCATGGCACCAGCTCTGGGTCTAAGGGCCTTCCAGCTCCGCACCTTATGTCTAATGCACCTTATGTCTCTGGTGTCTTCGCCTCTCATGTGGGACCTCGGGTGAGAAAACGCAGATGCTCAGTGCCCGAGAAGCAGGCTGGCTCACTGGAACCCAGTCTCCTGACTTCCAACCCCAGGCCCTTTCCATTGGCGCGTGTCACAGGGCCCTCTCCAATCTCACATCAAGCCAAGGAATCTGCCCTGCCCCCCCCACCTTATCTGCCTTATCTCCCCCGCCTGTGCTTCCGCCTCCTTCTCCTCTCCCTACTCTCCTCCCTTCGCAGCCTCCACTGCTACCTCACCAGCCCTGGCCTCGGTCACAGCGGTGCCGGCCAGGTCATCTCGGGATTCCTTGCATCCTTCCATCCTCCACACTGCTGCAGCCACAGAGACCTTTCTAGAACACAATTCTGACCATGTCTCTCCCTCCTTAAAAAACCCTTCACTGAATATACATTCTGAAGAAAAAGGTTTTTGTTGT